CCTAATACTATCGAATCTCCTGGTGAGTGGGGCTGCGGCGGGGCTGGGAGAGCACGGCTTTCGGGCCCAAGGGGACCTGGCCCATCTCCAGCAGCCCTGGGAGGGCTCCTGCACACACTGCCCCCGGGAGGTCGGAGGGGCAGGGTGGCTGGCCCGCCTGCCCCAGGCCATTGCCAGTTTCGGGGGCAGGGACCCACCACGGTGCACAGCACTGGCTGCAGACGAAGCCTCTGGGCCTCGCACAGGCGAGCACTGCAGCAGGTGGTCGGCCACTCGGGGAAGCTCAGTCTCATCGAGACTGCTCGAGGCAGGTGGGGGCCTGGGGGTCACCTTCCATCTCAGGCTTCTGACCAGAAATACCTGGGCTCCCAGGCCCTCCTGGTTCCAGCGGAAGCATGAAGAGTGGACGTGTGAGGCTCACCTGGCCGTCCCCATGGGGGGAGGGTGTGCCTGGCGGAAACGTCTGTGGAACCAGAGCGAAGAGGCCTTGGTGGGCAAGCTGAGTGGTGACCCGCGCCCAGAGCTGCCTCACGCAGCGACTGGCAGGATCCGGTTGGGAAGAGCAGAGAGTCGGAGAGCAGGCACCACCCTCCATGCTCATCCCAAACTCCCGTTCACTCAAAGTGGGCACAGCCCTGCAGCCCAGGAGTCAGCATCCCACCCAGGGGGCTGGAGCTGTGCGAGGCCCCCCGCTCCCAGGTGGCAGGCAGGACAGGCACCTGGCTCACACTCTAGGGGTCCGCGGCCAGCACGCAGCCTGGGGTCTGGCTAAAGGGCTGCTGCATTGTCTCTCGGGGGCTTGGGCCCTCCCGGAGGGTGGTCCAGCAGGACCAGGAGTGCAGCTGTGAGTGAGTCCCTGGAACACAGGCAGATCCAAAGGCTCAGCCCAGTAAGCCTGCTGTCCGGCAGGGACACACCCCAGAGTCCGCGGGGTCCTGGGCCTGGGAGGAAGGGAGGAGGAGGTCTGCATGGTCACTCACCTGTGAAACGCCTCAGGGACTCCAACGACAGCTGAATTCTGCGTGAACAGTGACGTGGAACACAGCAGGGCAGAGGCGAACAAGGTTGGACCAGGGTGGGTGCGGGGGTCCTTGTGGCCGCTGCCCCTCAGATGGCTTCCGCCCTGGTCAGGGCTCCAGAGAGCTGTTCTCTGATGTTTGTGGATGAGGGGCCGCTTCCCACGCGTGGACTGGGCAGCTGGGGCACCCGTGCTACATTCGGGGCCTCGTGGTCCACGCACACCTCTGCTGAAGGGAACTGAATGTGAGCTCCTGGGAAGAAGGATGGAGCCCAAAAGGCAGAGGAAACGCCTGAGCTCACGGAGGCATCTCAGCTGCGTCCGAGCAAGCGGCAGAACCGAGGGGAGCGCGTCCCCAGCTGGGCCTTGTAGGTGACAGGAAAGACGGATGGCGGCTACTCCTGGAAACGGCCATGCCCAGATCTTGACGGCTCTGGGTCTCCATTTGCAGAAACATAAACCTTGTCAGACTTGACGAGAAAACAAAAAACGCACCTTAAATGTAAAGACACAGATGGAAAACAGAAGGACGGACAATGCTTCTCCTTCCACACATTAACCTGCGGAAAGCTGGAGGGGCTACCTGAGTATCAGAGACTTCAGGCAAGAAGTTTACGAGAGATAAAGAAGGACATTCCACAGGGATAAAGAGCCAGTTCCACCTGAAGCCACAGCAGCCCCCAGACACGGCTCAGATCACAGACAGCACAAGCCAAGGAAGCACAGCGACAGACGAGGCACCATCGGGGCGGGGACTTTGACTCACTCTCAGTTACCGAAATCGGTGAGAGCACAGACAGGAACAGCACGACCTCCAGTCTGACCTGCACACAAGCGGCAGAGCCCAGCATCCTACAGAACACACACTCTTGTCAAGAACACACAGAATATTTACCAAAACAGCCCAGATTCTAAACCACAGAGCAAGTTTGAACACATGTAAACGGACTGAAATCACACAGCGTGTGTTCTCTGGCACGGTGGGATTACGAGCTCTCACTGACAGAAGGATACCAGGGAAGAGCTCCAGATGCTTGGAAGTCGTGCGTCTAAGCAGCACCGTTCTGCGTAACTTACGTCAAAGAAGAAATTACAACAGAAATCAGAAAATATTTTGAGCTGAGTGAGGAGAAGGCACCGCACTGAACTCCCTGGGACGCAGGCAAGTAGCCATCAGAGGGAATTCTACAGTCCTAACTGGAAAAGTCATGCATAAAAAAGAAGAAAGACTGAAAGTCAACGACTTAAGCTTCCAGTGCAAGAAACTAGGAAAAGAAAGTCCAAGAGATGCCAGGAAGGAAGGAGAGAGACAACAAGCCTATGAACCAGAAGACAGAAAGACAGCCGGGAAAGTCCGCAGGACCGAAGTCCGGCTCTGTGAAAACACCGCTGACGTCGGCCGGCCTCCAGCAGCACTGACCACGAACAAGACAGAAAGCAGAGCCTCCCAGACACAGGCAGGACCGCGAATCGCTGCTGCGGACTTTGCAGCGGTGAGCACGACGTGTCTGATGGAACGGGCGAAACCCCTGAAAACTCAATTTACCAAAATGGACACAAAAAGAAATTAAAAGTCTGAGCAGCCTTACATCCATTAAAGAATTAAATCTCTAAGTCAAAGCTTTTCCACCCAGAAAAGTCCAGGCCGAGCCGCCTCATGGAGAATTCCCCCCCGCGTGTCCTGCACGTCCGTTAGACGCTCCCCCCTCGGTGTTCCGTGTTTTCAACGCTGTGTAAACAGCGCTTTTAAGTTAACTTTCGTTTCCGAAAGAGGGTGTTGCAGCGTTCGGACCTGGGACTGGTTCTGTAGCAATGACTCCAATAATCTGTCTGAGGCTTTGGGCGGCACCTGAGACAGCGACGTCACCTGCCGGGTTCTGCCCTGTCCCCCACTCCCACGCCCTCCATCCCTCTGCCCCGCACGCCAGCCCTCGCGCAGACGTCGTGGAGGCAGCCGGGGCACGTCCTGGCCTTGGGGCAGCCTCCCGGCGCTTCCCCGCTAATTGTCGAGCGTGCAGACTCCATGTGTCGGGTTAGTTCACCAGATTGGCTTCTGTTCTGTTCGCTGAGCGTTTCCTGGTTGTCTGTCTCGTCCCAAGTGGACTTTCAGTTCTCCCAGACACTCCTCCTGCCTCCGTGATGGGCTCCCACTTTCCCTGAACCTGTCAGGTGATGTCGTTGGTCGCAGGGCCAGTCCGGAACTCTCCTGGGTCCGCGCGCCACGGGGCTTAGGAGGGTCCAGCTGTGTCCTGGGGGCAGGGCCTGTGGGCCAGGAGGGCCGGTCACTGGACACAGGGCCCACACACACCCCACCCGAGGGGTCTTTACTGTGTCAGCACCAGCAGCAAGGGCTGCGGGCCAAGGGCTCCAGGGCCATTTTCAGGGAAGGGGCTGGATCCCGGAGGAGTCCCAGCAGGGGGATGGCACCAGGTGCCAGGGGCCGTGTCTGTGGTAGAAGCCTCTCCCAGGATGAAGGGGATGGGGGCTGGGACCCTGGGGGAAGGGGCGGGGCCCAGAGAGTGGGGGTCCTGCCAAGGGTCCCTGTATCCAGGATGCAAGGATGGGTGGGGGTCAGAGTGACGTCAGTGGACGGAGGGGTGGGAGTGGGGCCTTCCAGCCAGTGGAGTTGGGGAGGGTCCCCAGCGTTCCCAAGGGCTGGGAGCGCAGGCATAGTCCCCGACCCGCTAGGCGCTGGGCCTGCGGGTATCTGGCCCCATACTGTGCATCACAGGAGGGCTGAGACCCTGCCTGTGGTGGCCCCCAACCCCAGCCCGGGCCCTGCTGCCTCACCACCCCCACAGCTCAGCCCACAGCCCCAGGGACCTCGACCCTGCCTCAGACCACTGGCCTGACATCCTGGTGGTGGGATGGCGGGGGGTGTGACCGTGACCCCACAGCTGGGGGTTTGGGGGTGGCCCTGGAGACTCTGGGGACAGGATGGTGCCACTGCCCGAATGTCCAGAGGCCCCTTCCCTGCAAGTGCGGCCTTAGGCCAAAGGCTCCAGGCTCGCCCGGGGCCTCAAAGCCTGACGGCACACCAGAGGAGCCGGACTCACGACCTGTTTGAGAAGTGCGACTGTTTCCAGCAATCAGACAAGAAGTGGTAGGTGTTCAGCTATGGTGGTTTTGGCCAGCCCCCAGAGAGGCTGTCGCCTGAGGCACAGAGCAGGTGCTCAGCAGACAGAAGAGGGGGTGTGGGAATGGCTGCTGGGGGTCCCCGCTCCCCCCTGCAGAGGAGCTTGTGGGCGACCGTTTGGCTGGGGGGTGAGAGCCTGTGTGCAGCGTCCCCCGACTTAAAGCCGCATGAAAACGTCTGTCGTCCCTCGCGTGTTGTCAACGAAAGGACAGGCAGACCAAAGCCTTTGCCTCTTTATTCACAGGCTGTTTCTCACAAACCAACCACGTGAATGAAACGCACAGCCAAGGCCAGCATGATGGACCAGATGCGAGGTTTTCCACTTTTACCTGCTTAACGTGAGGGTCCCAGCAGGTGAGGGAGGTCGCAGTTCTTTTTGGACTGATTACTTGCATCATCTTAACTTTCTGGATTACGCTGCGTGGTTGTGGCCTTCCCGGGGGTGTTATGGACTGAACCGTGTCCCCCGGAACTCCTGTGCTGAGGCTCCCCCCGGCCTGAGGTAGGGTTTGGAGGTGGTGCCGTTAGGAGGCAGTTAGGCTGAATGAGGGCATGAGGGTGGGCCCTAGCCCATAGGATCCGCGGCCTTGTAAGAAGAGGAGGAGAGAGATTTCTCCCCTCCTGCCTGTGCCCCGAGGAAAGGCCGCCTGAGGAGACGGCAGCGACTGGAAGCCAGGAAGAGGCTCTCGCCGGAAGCGGAACCAACCCTGTCCAGCCTTGATCTCGGACTTGCAGCCTCCAGCTCTGTGAGGAAATAGGTCTGCCGTTTAAGATCCGAGTCTGTGCCGCTTTTTCCTGGCCGCACAAGCAGACCGAGACAGCGTGTGTGCCCACAAACCCACGGGTCACCCACGGGGCGGGACCAGGTTGGGGAGGCTCGGGGCGGCCCGGTGGTGGCAAGAGAGGGGCAGTTTTCAGACCATCACACTCCTGCAGACGCCCCCCACACCCCCCCAAGCACAGCCAGCCCTCTGGGCACATCTGGTCCCCAGCCATGGAGGGAGCACAACTCCAGGGGGCGCTGTTCTTAAGTCTTCCGGGTGCACATTGGTATCTCTGGAGTGAGGGGTGCTGCAGCCCTGCCAAACCACATTCCAGTTAGAGACAAGGAGGTCGTGGAGGCTGCCCCCGCCCATGGCCCCAGTCCACGTGGGGTGACCCTGTGGAGAAGTGGGTCGAGGGCCGTGGGTGTCGGGGGGAGGGGACAGTGCACATCATGCCCCTAAGCTGACCAGGCTGGTCGGGGCAGCAGGTACCCTCACAACCACATCGTTCTCCAGCACCGTCTGCCCGGAGAGGCAGTCAGCCCACAGGTCCTGCTGGAGGAACCGTGCCTGCCCTGCGAGGTCACCCCAGGCCCTCGCCGCGCCCTTGACTGTCCATTGGGCATCCTGCGCTCACCATTGCAGCACACCGCCCAGCGGCCAACGGTGATGTCAGCATTCCTTCTGAATCCATAAGCCCACACGGTGACACTCCGCTCTTCTGCCCTCTGAACTGCCTCCTGGGTCCCGGAAGCAGCTCCTCCAGGGAGAAGTGCTGGGAGCCCTCAGGACAGGCTCCTGGTGAGAGTCCCCGAGGGTGACGTGACCGGAGGGTCACTGGGTGCCCCAGCACATGCCGTTCTGGTGGGAACGTGGCCTTCCTGTGGAATGCAAGGGCACAGTCTTCAAAGCGGCCACTCTTCCTACAGGCTCCACCCAGGAGCCCTGTGCTGAGCTGGAGGTAACCCTGCTCTTGTTGCGCTGACTCTGTCTCCAGGACCAGAGGCTGAGAATGGGGCTGGGGCAGAAACCTGGACACGGCTGAGCCCAGCATGGACCACGGCACCAGGCCACACCCCTGGTGGCCTCCCCCACCCCTGACCCTGGTGCTCACAACAACGCTTGAGGCTGGAGGCCCAGCGGAGCCCGACTTGAACCCGCGCCCTCCACTACACCAGATGGTCACTCCCATCAGCAAGAAACTGGGGAGCAAGCCCGAGGAACAGTCATACCGCTCCAGCCTCATGGGACCCCAACACAGACAGCTGTTGGGAGATGCACCCACCGACCCACCCACTCACTCACCACCTGCCCACCCACCCATCTGTCCATCCGTCTGTCCACCCCCCCAACCAGTATCTCCTGAATGCTCTGGGTGCCGGGCAGTGTGTCGGGAGCTGGGGATGCAGCCATGAGCCTCATGGGCTTTGTGGAGCACCTCACTCACGGGGCAGATGCTCCCGTGGAGGCAGCAGTCAACCAGAGAATAAATCCAGTGGAGGCGTGGAGGAGGGGAGGGGGCATGAGAGCGAGCTCCTCGGGAGCTGAGGGTAGAAAGCAGAGGTTCCCAAAAGGAGGCTCGGAGGTCAGGGAGGGGCCTGCGTCCTGGGAGGGCTTGGCTTCCCTCTAATTTGGAGGGTCTGTGGGGGCAGCCCGGGCAGGTGAAGGGGTGGGCAGCAGGCTTTGGGCAGAGGCGAGGCTCATCTGTCCTGAGGGGAGGGCAGACAGGTACTCTGAGAGACCGGACTCAGGGGCCCGCCTCCCGGGTTTGGGGCGGCACAGCTGACAGAGATGCTGCCCAGAACGCAGGGTGGGCTTGGGCGGTGGGATGAAGGATGTGTTTGCCATAGAGTCCAGGGTCCCCGGGTGGGCCACTCAGTCAGCAGCACTGGCGAGAGGGGCTGAGGCCTGGGCATGGACTTGGGGCCGAGCCCTCTCCGGGAGGAAGGGCACAGGTGTCCCCATGCTGGAGGTCTACGGGTGCTGCTGGAGGTCTACCTGGGGCTCCCAGGTCAGAGCAGAGGGGTCCCTCAGGAAGCAACGGGGGCAATCCTGGGTGGGGGAGGGCAGAGGGACCAAGATGCTGTACCACCCAAGGTTCGGGAGGGGAGGCCCTGGTTTCCAACAGGTGGTTAATCCTGTCATGAAATGCAGATTTGGGCTGAAGGCAGCAGGAGGCTTAAGGCCAGGCCCCCTTCTGACTCTCGCCCTTAGCTGGGTCTGCACAGCCCCAGTCCTGTGTTTAGGGGTAAGGAGCGCCACCGGGTGAGCGTGCCCACAGCTACTCCAGGCAGCTCAGGAGCTGAGCGAAGGCCACTGAGGGGCGCCCGAGGCACCGGAGCCCGCAGGGACCCCCGCCCTGCCCGCCACCCTCACTCCTGCCCCCGGCGCTGTACTCCGCCCCCAAGGGAGGCGGTCGCCAGCC